AGTTTTTAAATATGTATATTTTATTTTTAATTTTTGTACCAATATTTAAATAAAATAGATTGAAAAAACTTGGAGTTTTTCTTCGTTTAGCGCAACGTGAAGAAAGATATGGAACGGAGAGTTTGTGTTAGAGGTTTTTTACTTCAATTCGTCCCCTATATGAAAATCCCTTTTGTGTGGTGTTTTGTGAGGTTTTAGCTTGGCCTAATCATACTCAGAGTGTGGTGAGATTGGCCTGACTGTACTCTTTGTAGTAGGGTGTGCTTTGCTTTGGTGGCTGTATGAGTGTGTACCTGAGTGGCTCTTTTAGTGTTGTGTCTTTTTGTGTGTTTCTCCCACTGGACTTTTGACTTTTGAGTGGTTGGCTCTCTTAGGGCAGTGGAAATACCGGGCTTCAAACTTTCTTTCTTTTATATCAGCTTTAATGTTTCTTTAACTTACATCAGAGTTTCACTGGAAATATCAGTCTTCAAACCATTTTTTAATTTTTAATATACATTCTATAAATTAAAATTAAAAGGATTTCATTAATAACATTATACTTTTTCCATCCCGTTCTAAATTGCCTGTTTTGAGTTTAGGGCATATTTAAGGAAGAGAAAAAATAAAATTGACTTTCTGAAATTGCCATTACTTTTTGGAGAAAATAAGTTGGAGAAGAGTGACTTATTTTAGGGGTAGTGTAGGTATTTTACTCTTAAAATTTTACGATAACAAGAAACATGCAACTTATTTTGGGACGGAGAAAAAAGGAAAACCGGCAATTTAAATTGGGACAGAGGGAGTAAATAACAATTATATCATTTTAAAAAACTTAAATAAGAGTTACGAAAAATTTAAACAAAACACATAAAAAAGGTTATATAAAATTAATAATTATTTGAACGACTGAAAATATGTTCAATCAAATCCACCGTTAGTGCATCGTGAATCTCTCCGTTTCAAATTTCTTGGCGATTTTTTCGTTTTTTCTTTGATGATTTCTTTGTATGTGTGTTTGTTGTTTAAGAACGATTGGTTCCGAGAGCAACTTGGCAATTGTGGAATAATCTAGATATATTCTGTCGGCAAGATAATATCAACGCTTGTAAAGCGTCTCTCTAAGCTCAAAAGACGAGTCGGGTGCAGTCTTATGAATCCAATCGTCAAATACGGGCAATTGATCAAGAATATTTATGTCATTGTTCGAGCCGGCAACACCAAAAAAAGCATGCTAAAACCAGAGGTCATTTGAAGCCACTACTTCGAGCACTATATTAGGTTTGAGATGATCACCCCGTAAATACTAACCATGTCACACAGTTAAAAGGTTTTTCCATTCTCAATGCATGCAATCGATGCTTACAAACATGCCAACAAAGTCGTGTTTAGCGACATGCCTCGCCTGGAACTGCTCAATGTCACTCGTCGTTGACTTACGTAACTACCTCTTATGGTACAGTCGACTAATAGCTTTATAAAACTTATAGACACATGACCTAATGTTTTGACCCGACATCTTCAAGTATTCGTCAAACATATCACAAGTGGTTCCATACCATTTGACGAAGCATGACGGTGTACTTTTGGACGCTGCTAAACACTGATATCTCGCATCAAACCGTTGGGTGAACTAAAGAACCTCGCGTTCAATATCATGTAACATTCCTTTAAAAAAACGGCTCATTAAAAAATTGTTACTAAATTCCTCTAGCGAGTAAACACATAAAGTATTAAAGTAGTCGTTAGGCAGTGCTTCATCCGCAGCCACCCGGTCACGGTTTAAATGCTCACTTCAGGTTGAGTGCCTGGACGATTCTGCTTCCTCTTGTTGTTATTTCCGCCACTGGTAACATGGCGTTGAGGAATCATGAAATATGAATGTTTTTCTCTTTTCGTCAGATGAAGATGATGATCTCATTTAAAAAATATATAAGGAATTTGGGTTGTGGAGAGAATGAGTATATATTGTGTGAGAATGTTCGTATGTGTATGTTTTTTAATAAGAGTGTATTTATAGTTTAAAATTTTAAAAAAATTAAATTTGGCAATGGCCAAAATTTTGACNTAGCACTTGCATAACGGTGAAGGGGGGTGGTGCTTAACGCCCGGAAGACGTTAAACGAGGCTTGACGGAGGGAGGCGTTATGTGTATTTTCGGTGCTCTTAATATCAGCTCGTCATGGAAATAGGTCAGACAGCTTGTGGCCTAGTCTAGGATTGGCTTGTTTCTAAATGCACAAGGGTGTTGTTTCTCGCATTTTATGTATTTATTTATTTATTTATTTTGAAATAAAATATACTTTGATTATCCCATTTGAATACAAAAAAAGTCGGATGGAGTAGCGCAAAAAATTGCTGCCGGGTACCCTCGATTTTGTGATAAGAATTGTCAGGTCCTATTATTTTTCTAAATATACTCTGGGGTACCTTAATTATCTAAAAAATTACTAAGGGGTGATAATCCGTCCATGCCTCCGTTAATTTCAATATCCGTTATCTTTTTCTTCTTTCTTTTCTGTTTCTTTCTTTCTTGCTTTCTTTTTTTCTCTTTCCAATTCCCATTAGAGACCCCCCCCCCACCCAAAGCCCTCCCCCCTTTTTTTCTCCCTCTATTTTTTCTTTTCTAATTTTTCTTTTTCTTTTATTATTATTATTATTATTATTATTATTATTATTATTAGTATTAGTATTACTATTAGGTATTATTATTTTATTATTAGTTATTGTATTATTTTATCATATTTTATAATAATTATGATTATTTATTTTTATCGTTTTACTTAGTTATTAGTTTTACTACTCTAACTTTTTTAGCAAAATAAACTTAAAACCCCATTAGAAACAATTGTATGTCCACATTGACCTTTCCTAATTTCCAATTTTCACTTGCATAAAAAAGGTTAACATATTTTAAAGCTTTAATTTAAAATTACTTTTAGTAATATATTTATGTATAGTTTATAAAAAAATATGTATTCCCTTGGTTATAAATTTTATGTCTTAATTCATTATATTAATATGAAATTTAACATCATTTTTATCGTTTTATATTATCTTTAAAAAATTACAGAAGAATTTACCCGTCTTATTCTTATCCCAAGGCCTCTCATTTTCTAGATTACCCACTATCAGTGGTGGCTATCGCTGACCACCAAATGACTAATGCGAAAGACAAATGGAATGACAAAAAATTAGAGTAGTAAAAGTACTAGTAATTGTTTTTAATTATAATAGTAATAAGTTTTAATTTAAATAATAATTAGTGTTATTTTACTTAAAAAATAGTGTAACAAAACTACTAATTAACTTTTAATAATAATAATAAATTAAAAAAATAGAATAAAAATAAAACAATAAGAAATATATAATAATTAATACAAAGTAATACTAATAAGTATTGTTATTTTTATAAAAGAGTAAAGTATTAAAATTACTAATTATTTGCTTTTAATAAATAATAGTATTAATAATAAGTGTTTTTTTATAATAAGTGCTATTTTCCTTAAAAAAATCAATGCTTTTTTTCTAATAACTAATTTTAATAATAATAGTAATAATAATAAATAAAAATAATATGGAGCAATTTATAATAATAATAATAGAATATGATGAAAATAATAATAAATACTCCCTCCGTCCCTGAGTGTTTGTCCACTTTCATTTTTGCACACTATCCAATGCACTTCTTTAATCCATTTTATCTTGTAATTTGTATATTAAAAAATTATATATTAATAATCTATATGTTAAGACGAATCAAACAAGATCACACATGACTATTTTTAGGCTTATACATTGAGAGAATTTGATGAGTCAAAGTGCTTAGATGAACAGTTCCAAAAGTCAAAAGTGGACAAACACTCAGGGACGGACCAAGTACTCCGTATGAAATGATAATAATAATAATAATAATAATAATAATAATAATAATAAGTATTGCTATTTTTCTAAAAAAAAATATAGTACTAGTCTCTTTCTAAAAATGGGGGGGGGTGGGCGCTGGTCTCTGATGGGGATTGGGAAGGTGGGAGGGGGGGGCTGATGCCTGATACAAGAGAGAAAAAAACAAGAAAGTAGAAGAAAAAGATAACGGAGAGAGAAACTAACGGAGGCATGGACGGAATGTCACCCCCTAGTAATTTTTTGGATAATTTAAGATACCCTGGAGTATATTTAGAAAAATAATGGAACCTGGCAATTCTTATCACAAAATTGAGGGTACCCAACAGTAATTTTTTCTGGAGTAGCGTCCCAAAGTTGTAGACGATCCTCAACACGCCTAGCCAAATTGTGAGCATTTTATAGGTCAAGCAAAATGAAAAAATTGGATCTTCTTATAAAAGTTTTAAAACGCATTCTCATAAGGAAAAATTTTAAAAAATAGATTAAAAAATATGTTAAAAAAAAAATATCAAAAGGACAAAATCCATATCTTATGCTTGTGCCTAATGGATCAATAAGTCAAATAAACTTAAATTCCTTATTGAATACTTCCTCCGTCCCTAAATGGATTACAATTTTTTTTCTCTCCTCTCGATAACTTTTGTTTGTTTACACGATTTCAATAAGTAGTTGATAAAATAAAATATTCTTGTCACCTCTTGTTTTGTAGAACTTTTCACGTAGTTTTTTAATATGTAATTTTTATATTTTATTGATATATCAATTTGTAAATAAAATGATTTCAAAAAGTAGGAAATTTTACTCCGTAACCCGCAATTTGAAATCAAATTGGGGAAGGAAGGAGTATTTAAAATAGAGTAAATTGCATATATGGTCCTAATTATAGGTAATTTTCTATATTTAGTCCCTAATTCTTAAATATTTCATAAATAATCTTCAAATTTTGAAAACTCTTCCATAATAAATCCTTCAGGAACTATTTTTTGAAAAATTATTCTACGGAGTATTATATTTGACCTAAATGACTAATTATGAAATAACTTTTCAAAATTGAAGATCATTTATGAAATATCTAAGAATTGGGGAATAAATATGAAAAACAATTTGTACTTGGGGACTATTTATAGAATTTACTCTTAAAAATAGACAACAAAATGCTAGGTTCCTCAAGGCACCTGAAATGTCATTAATTAGGCACTTGAAATGTCATTAATTGCCGCTAGTAACAAAATTTGTCCTCATCAAATGTTAGGAGCCAATTCCCCTTGGTGCTGTGATCATTACTCCGTAACATAATTTATAATCATACTGCAGCACTAATAAGCCCCAATCCTAGTGCTTCATCCGTATAACAGAACCTTCACTAGAAATGATGATATACATGGCCATTTGAGGTTATTGGGGGTCCCATACACCAAAAATGTCCAAAATCTTTCACTGGGTTGCACGTGTCAGCAGAGTCCCTTGGCGAACCGGGACCAATTACCGGCTACTAGACTACTACCCTGAAGAAGAAAGGAGAGATGATTTTTCATTGGGCACAGCTCCTGGGAAATCACGTACGGAGTAAAACATTTAGTGACCTCAGACAGTTGAAAGTTATTGCAGTACCTCTGGATACAGCTTATACACAAGCCTGCAAAATGCATTTACCGAGCACGTCATGGGTCAATATATTCAGGAAACTCAGCCTTGCCAAGATAAACCTGTTGCATCTCCTCCCTCCATATCTGAAACAATAAAAAATTTAAATAGAAGAAAGATGGTAACCCAAGAAAATAGAAGAAATACGAGGAAGAGTGAATGGGTATCTAAGCCCTTTGCCCTGAAAGCTCGGGGTGCCCTCCATTTCAGAAGATGAATGCTTGTTTTCCAATGGTCGCTTGATAAATACTCTAAGGCCCTGTTTGGTACATGGAATTCAAACTATGGAATTGGAATTGATGATTTCAATTCCATATCTGATGTTTGGTAGCACAAAAATTATGTCGATTTGGAATTGGTAGTGCAAAAAATGAATTGGAATAGGTGAATTCAATTCTATGGAATTGAATTATATGGAATTCTAATTCCAATTCAATTCCAATTCAATTCCAATTCCGTGTACCAAACGGACCCTAACAAAAAAAATTACAAGTGTATACCATTTCTCTGAATTCCAGTCGGATGTGTGGCACATTTGTCCTGTGGATATCGTTTCCATCTGGGCCTCTCTTGAAGTACTCCTTCCCGATCCAGTGGGACTAAGATAAAAAATTGGTAAGGTTCAGACTCGGAAAGAAAAGGGAAGAAATCAAATTCATATGTTTCACATGGCTGAATTGTGGCCTCATCAGATACTATATTTCCAAATAAATAACTGTGTGTGAGTGTGTGTGCGCGGGCAAGTGTTTGCCCACCTTGAGAGCATGTGAGAAACCGGATTGGTAGACTGAATTGCGGGCAATCTCACATAGATCACATGAAGTCAACTTCCAAACCTGTATTATCAAAGGTTCCAATTTGAAAACTAAATAGAAAATTTTCAATACGCAAACGGGCAATGGAATCTAAGCACTTACTGAAGCAGCTATACTATACTCCTCCACCAATGGCTCTTTTGTTAAGTGGATTTGTAATGGATCATCCGTTGAGAGAGAAACATTGAGACCCCGCATAAAGAACATGGGAAAAGGGTTACGGTGATAGTCCAAGAATAGAGAGTTATTACTTAGAGGAGACATTGCCAATCCAATCTATAAAAAAATATACACATAGCAACCTTAGAAAAATAAAACCATTGAACAAATTTAAAACAAGCTGTGATACGTCTGTTTCATTTTACCTGGGCTAGATAGTACAGGTACTGAAGCACAGGAGATTTTCTCAAATTGATTCCGTGAGCAATGTTGTGTGTAGTAAGAAATGTAGCAGCAAGGTGATCAATGTCACCGGCCTGAAAGATGAAAAATATCTGAGCAACTTGCACAACCCTTTAACCAGTAGAAGAAGATTGTATGAGGGTGCGACTGCAGTACCTCTCCAGAATGAGGGCGGAATTTGATAACTGACATGCCCTTCGATTCACGCAGCTGAGATTGCATTTAAAATATCAAAATGTCAGCATTGGATGACTTTATGAGCATGCAACCAAGCATATCTTATCTATTCAGCCATGCTTCCACAGTTTTTATGGCAATTCCAGTGTACCTTATTTTTAATTCAAAAAATATTATTACTCAATGCAAAATCCTAAAGCAAAAAACATTTTTGGTTTGACCTTCTCCTGCCTACTGCAGTTGCACCTAGTCACCTACTATATCATGCCAGTGCTAGCAATATGTTTCCTTTTATGTCCTTCCAATATAATCATAGGCAGAAGTAAGTGTAAAGCATCACTCCAGTCCGATACGCACCTTATTAAGGGTATAAAGATTAGCATAACAATAGTACACGTAGTACGAATACGCAGGATTGAAAATGTTGGTCCACTGAGATGGTGTTGGCATGTGTTTTGTTGGCCTTCTTTCTGGCTTGCTTTCATCATCTACCAAATCTAATCCAACTACCTGTAAATTATTCCAGTAATCAGTCTAAGACTTCCATCCAGTTGCTTTTTGGTCCTAAGAAATGTGATTTTGCATAAAGACAGCTCAAACCTATTTCAGATCCAAACATATGAGGAAAATGAGGATGTTTCTTAATAATCAACCACACAAGAAAAGACAGCCAAAAGATAGGTAGAACACAACTGTGCAGGTGTAATATGGAGTATTAACTAAGATGATACCTTTCCCTAAAAAAATATGATACCTTTTTCAAAAATAGGTGCAACTGAGGATGTGAATCAGGATCTACAGTAACTTCAAATAAAGGGAGAAAGATATTGTCGAGAATGTTCTGAAACGAAGTCACAATGCCCATCTCCTTGTACACATTGTAGAGTCTGGGAAGCTGGAAAATTATAGTCAATTAGAATCATAACACAGAAAAGCATGCAAATACTAAATGCATGTAATATGCTTCTCTCAAAAAAATGGATAATGTCCTCAAGTTTTTTAACTTTTTCCAACCTTAGAAATAAAACGACATACTATGATAATTCATAAAAGATGAAGGCTATGAACAATTTGAAGAAAATCTAGCAGGATTTGGTTCATGGAAGGAAAAACAAAAAGAAATAGTAATAGAACTCCTAAGGGAAATGATGGTTGGTGGCTTGGTTTACTAACAAAAATTTTATAATAAAGATAAGGAAGAATATGGAGCACGGCTGTAGTCAATATATCATTTATTTTAATAATAAAGTTAAGGGGCATACTTGTATCAACCAAACAACATTCTCACTATAAAGCTCGTTGTTCACAATCCAGCTTGCTAACTGGTCCCACTCACTCATCTTCCTACCATATATTGATATTCTGTATTCAGCCATCTGCAATGACCAAAGGGAATTAGTTGACCGGGTGGAAAAGTGGAGATTCAAATTCTTTGAAGACAAATGCAAATGGGCACAAATGCTGTAAATTAATGTTTCAGGAGGCCTTGAAATATTTGAGGAAAAGAAATGAACAAATAGTTTCATTAAGTTCCTACTATTATTTATTAAGTGTACTACAACTGGCCGGTTTACACAGAAAGCTAATATTACCAAAGAATGGATAGATCTATATTTACACCATTTTGTTGTACTAAACACGCGAAAATCACAAATCATATATTATTAATTCATGTAAAAGTCCAACCATTTGCCTTTGCATCAATCCTAAAAACACAAGTGAGCAATTGAAGGAAACAAAAAATGTACACCTTACATATTTGAAATATTAATCTACTGTTCTATCAATGAAGTTTTTAAACTTCTTATTCCGCCTCTTTTTAAGGAAATATGACTTTATCAAATGACATACATGTCTTTTTCATCTTCTCTCTTCTACATTTTGTCCATTTTCATTTTTCCTTCCCTACTTTTTCAACTTTAATACCTAACTCTACAATTTCTTTTAGAAAACGAGAAAAGCATATTAGAGGAATATTTTGAATGGGATAGAATTAAAAAAGCTAGTAAACATGATGGTGTATAATCACCAAGGGACCAATTCATCACTTCGACTGATCTCCAAGTCAATGTTCTAAAAACCGGACCGGACGTCGACCCGAACGAGTGAGTGCGTCAAGGGCTATCCGATTGAACTGATAGACCCGGGGGTCAACGACCCAGTCAAATATAATTAAAACAATACGTAGTAATATTTTACATTATAATATTAGATATATTTAGTTTAAAAAAAATTTTATTTGTGTTTTTTTACTTCTCCACCAAGTTTTTAGCATCATTGTGCATATACTATTTTACACTTTCTATTTTTATTCTATTATTTTTGTTATTATAAAAAGTTACGATTAATAGTGAATGTCTACAAAATTCTTAAATTATAACGCAATACTCATGTTTTCAAAAAATTATAAATTTTAAGGTATAAATTTTTAAATAAAAATAAATAATACGAAATGTAATTGTTTAAATTTGTGTTCATTCTCTAATTCTATTTCTAATTATAATTAGTAGATAATTCTTGTTTTTTTATAAATGATAATGTTTTTTAGATATAAATTATTCTTTATTACTTGAATATAAAAAAACAAATAATCTTTATTTTTTGCCATCAATTATTTTAAAAGTATAGAATAAGTGCACCACACCAACATGTTCACTTTTACAAATAGTTAGAAGGTTTTTTTAAATTCAAACAGCTCATTTATCATAGAAACTATATGTATTGTTTTTCATACCTCTAGCAATTAGTTGTGTTGTAGCTAAGTGGTTAGAGTGTACAAGTGTTAGAAACCTAAAGCAAAAATATCCAACCCCGCAACCCGGTGTGCCGGTTTTCCAGGTCGGATAGGTTTGGGCCGTCGGGCGGGCTAATGGGAATAAGGGTTTTACAATTGAACCGGAAGCGGGTCACTGGTAGGACCGTCCGGTCTAGGCCGGTTCTAACAACTCTGCTCTGAGTCAGAAAGACAACCCAAATAGGGAAAGAGATAATAAGGCAAGGGGTTAGATAATGAGTAAACAGAGACCTAAGTAGAAACACTACAAGCTAAAACAAATATGGTTGAGCAATAGTCTCTAAGTCTCTTATGCGCGAAACAATGAGTACTACAGGAGTAGAGCTATCAAAGTGCTCCCTCTCAAGGCATCAGTGGATCACCTATAGCTCAAATCCGATATTCATTTTGGGTACAATGACCACATGCCATATTGCCATCTAGCCTACACATATACGGCTTGTAAGCTAGCGTAGACATGGTAGTCAAGATGGCATTTTAGCTCGTAAAATTGCACAACTCTATGCATCTTGTGGTCAATTGCAATTTATATCGCAGAAAGAATTGGAGAATTCCCTAGAATTTTAGGAATGACATATCAACTCTTGAAAATGCTAGGATCTCGCAACTTTTCTGATCCAGATCTACCTTTGCAAGGTAGGAAGAAAACATGTTGGAACTCGAAAATACAAAAAATTGCACCTCTTCCAATTCCAAGGTCAATCCATAGTATTAAGGTGTTTGGGACTGTGGTGAGTTCATGGAAAAGTAGAAGTCATAAGTTAGAAGCAGAAAGTAATTATTTTTAGCATTGCTAGAAAACACTTCTAGACCTTAATGCTAAAGTTGATTGCCAAACAGTTAAAATTGTGTTTTTTTAAAGTAGAAGCGATAAGTTATTTTCAAATGTACTCCCAAACAGCCTCTTATATTCTTTCACAATAGCTTCTACTTCCTAAGAGACCATAAATCTGGTTTGACTTCTCTCTCGCTCTCTCGTTCGCTCTCTGGTCAACTTCTCTCTTTAGCACCAAAGGAGAATATTTCTTTGTGTTTCCCTCTAGTTTGGATTCTCTCTTTTATTTGTCATCTGCAGCTTGGTTGAACTCAGCTGGTGTCGTATGGTATTTATTATGCCGATGTTTTTCCCCGCACTTCTGCCATTCTTTTTTTCATTATTTGTTGTTTCGAAGATTATAAATGTGACATAGCCAATTACTTTTTACATGTCAGGTAACATATGTGTTTTAGATACTCCCTCTGTCCCAATCTTTTTGTCCAGTATTCCTTTTTCGGTTGTCCTAGTGTATTCGTCCACTATCTATTTTTAGTAAGTAATAAGGTTTACAATGACAAATATGCCCTTCCAATTCAAACTAGCAAAACCTAAGATGCCATATCTTGCTGACACCATTTCTCAAAGTAAAGAGTTAATGCATTTCTCGCCAAAACAGTCAAACTCGAGGTAATAAGTGTACTCTCATTAGGGTCATTTCTCTCACTTAACTCCCTAAACTTGGTATTTGTGCCAAAAGTAAAGTGGACAAAGAGAGTGGGACGGAGGGAGTATTCGGGAATGTTGGATCTCATGGTCCATATTATAGTTTTATGATTTACGATCTTTAATTCATTATCAGGTCTTATGTAAGATCCCAAGTTTGACTTCCTTGAGCGTAGAGGTCATGTGCAGACCATTAAGTCACTTAAGTGTCTGGGTCGAGATCATGTCCAGACCGTTTTACCTGGGTATAACCCATCAAAGTTTATACAAAAGATTTTGCAAGAAAAAATATCTTGGATGAACCTGGTATTTACTTGCTTCAAGATCTGAAAATACTTGCTTTGTCAATTCACCAAGAAAGCGGCCTGTAAAATAACTAAGTGATGTCAAATGCCAAAAACATAAACAAAGATGATTTACCACGATAAGGAAAAACTTCCAGTTTAAAAGTAAATTCTAAAGAGCGTGGATGATCAATATAAAGCAAAGCTAGTAAAGTAGTATTAAATATGACATGCATCTTGACAAATGCAAAAGTTGTTACAATTCTAGCTACCATTCGAAGAAAGCTCAACCAAGAAGTTACTTCCTCAGCCAAAACCTTAAGAATTCAAACTCACAAAAGATAACCATGACCCACCCATTCACACATATAGATGAGAGCATACCCTGGATAAGATTATCCTGCTTCAGAAAAATCTCCCTGAGCCTACTTTGACCACAAGGGTTATACTTCAAATTAAATTTGTCAAAACGGTGGAAGGTACTCTTGTCAGCATGGACATCCAATAGGTCAACATTCAGGTCATACCTGTTAGATACATACATTAAAGCTTTGAGAAGTGAGCACATACAGCTTCAAAAAAACCAATGAAACAATTTATTTACCCAGTCAAATCCAAGCTCTCAAACACCTCCTTTAAGGTCATATATGTCCCATCACGAAATATAACAACCTGAACAAAACAAAATATGCCAGTGACAATGCCCAGAAGATCATAATAAAAAACCATTCAGCTAACAGCCATTGTTATTATCATTTGGAATATTTCACCTCATAGTTTCTCCATGTGAAATTTTCATGTCCAACAACAAATTTTCAATTTTAAACACATCAGATATTCAGAGGAAACTATGATAGAAAATACCTCATCCGGCTCTTTCCTTAGCTTTGACTTTATAAATCTCAGTAGATGTTTCTGGTTCATGCATGCTGAATGATGAACATGAGTATCAACCTTTCTGACATTATAGAAATCACGATGTGGTGCACTTTTCTGAGCTAGAAATTCTCTATCCGCATTAAGCATTAAGTGAAGGTTGAATTTCTACACAGTTGAAAATCCATAAATCAAATGGGGATATTTCACATGCAAACTAGAAGCAATATAAAAAAACATACTTGTTCTAAAAGTACTAGACGATGGTGGCAGAGAGTTCGAATGTTCCCAGCTGCTATGACTTTAAGTATATGGTGCAGGTCAGTGAAGAAAGTTGTTGCATCGGCAACAGGGAAAAGCTTCTCCTTTGCTGTTGTAAGTAGAATAGTAGATTGAGAAACAAAAAATTAAAAAGGGGAAGGCAAGTCAGTTGACGAGGAGATTCAAATAATTTTAAAATCAATCAATTATGTAAAAATAGAATACAAAAATCTTGGATCTTACAATCTTTATTTGGATAAACATGGACCACTCCGTCTTCCATCTGAAAATAATGCTGCAAAATATTTGCAGGCATGGAACAGAACAGAAAATGACCAACTAAGATAAAGCTTGGTTTGAAAAGTGCACAAGTTTTTAGTTAATAGCATCATGCAAAGCATGGAATGCTGATAGCTAGGCATTAGAGATTTACAACTTACATCAGATTTACCCTCTGGTATGTAGTAAAAAGGATTCGGGTTAGGCCTTGGTGTACCGGGATCAGATATTATTTCCTTTTCCCAAGGAGTTACACGCTCCCTAAATACATAACTCTGTCTCTTTTTAAGACACTCTTGTAGATTCCAGTAAACATCACATTCATCAGGAGATGGTGTCTCTGGCCATAATTGTAAAAAAATCAATATTTAGAAATTTGAATAAATATGAAAATGACAATAGGTGTGATGCAATAACTGAAAGTGACTCAGGTCAGATTGATCTACCCATTGGAGAAATTCTCAATCGCACAAAAGTTTCTTGCTCGGGCTCCTTCCTCAGTATATCTGCAGCTATAGGGTCAGGTTGAACGCCATGTAGGTCACCAGACACGCTATGGGAGCGAATCATACTTGGTGCAGGTAAAGATACTTGTTCCCCATTGACATGGTCAGGCATATTCTGGTACATCCCTTCACACTCTGGTCCCTGTTCATATACGGGAGAGTAGAAAACAGGTGGAAGCTACTTACTTATTTTGTGAAAAAATATTGGTGGAATTTTTTCAATATATTAACAGATATTTAAAGTTAGAAGATGATCCAAGCATAGGTCAGACTATAAATTCATTTGAGATTAAAAAAGGAAAAGTGAAAATAAAGAAATGCCATCAATCACAATGTTACCGCATCTCCGTTAGTGTGAAGATAGATAGTATCGAGTTTTGTGTTCTCCGTCAGATTATCTTCCTCATCAGATCCTTCAACACTTTCAAATGCACTAACACTAGCAACTGGAGACCTAGGAGAAGTAGGTCGAAGAGGGTGTCCAGCTCTTTTATATGAACCCACGTGACCAGAATTCCCTAACGCAAAAGAAGAGAATTTTCTAGGTGATCATAACACCACAATGAAAAGAACCAGCAGGTGTGGAATACAAAAAGTAACAGCACTTTCCTTATTAAAACTCAAAACAGTTAACACATTAGCAACTAATTTTGAAATGTCTATTTTAGAAAACTAGAGGGGGTAGTACGAAAATACATCATTTTGACAAAATAAATATGAAAACATGTTTGTAAGAGCCAACTTTGTGACTCAATCACCACTTGATAGTACAATTAATTTATTAAAATCGGGTGACTGTGAGACACCCCACTGATCAGTTCTCACTTCCCCATATATCTTTTACCATTCCTATGCCTCAGACTCTCAGCAACGTTTTAAACAATAGAAGCTCAAACAATTTGAAGAGCACTAAAAGACAGATGGAACTTGTAACATTAAACAAATGGACACCAAAGACCAATGTTATATGATACTCCCTCCGTCCCAAATTGAAGTTTCGTTGCAATTTATGATGCAAGTCATTTTCCTATTTTCTATTTTCTTTCCTGTTTCGGAAAATAGGAGTAAATGGAAAATGATTTCAGAATTCTAACGGAATATGAGCCATACTTGGCGGAAAATGGTTTCTGTTTTTTTCCAACTGAATACCACCCTTATCCTACTTTATATCAAAACTCACCAAGTTTTCTTATGTTAACAACAAAAATTCTTTCTTTTATTTTCCAAACTTTCAACCAAACGCCAGAAAATGAATTTTTTAAAAAAGTCATTTTCCGTTACTCATTTTGCATCTTTCCAAACGGACCCTCAATTTATTCGAGAACTAGTGTAGAATTTAAAAACTTTACATATTTTAAAAAAATACATCAAAAGTGCTACAGAACAAGAGTTGAAACGACTATATCATTTGATCATGAGTAACGAAAATAAGAAAAAAAGGGATACCGTTTGACCACGAATAGTGAACGGGAAATTCATTTTAGGACGGAAAGAGTATGCATTGATCGCCAAACATATGTTTCATTAATCAATTGGTTGCTCAAACTACTCAAGCTTAATCAATATGGCCTGCTTTTTAATATAGTAACGTATGGTGTTTTTCACAAACCATATAGTTTATCCATGTTTTTTCTGTGTTAAATTTTAGAAATCGTTTCAGTATGAAAGAAAATTGAATGACCAAGTGAGTTTCTAATAACAAATATAGACCAATTGAAGAATGAAAATCATGATCGCATTATTGCATGAGCGTATAAATTAGGTCTACATATATATCAGTCTGAAGATCAAGAGAGAACAGTAATATTTGCTCAACATCCAGATATATATATATATATATATATATATATATATATATATATATATATATATATATATATCATCAGAAATTAGAACCTGATAAATGGGGGGGAATAAAGTTATTGAAGTTCTACTTTTTTCTACATGAATCATACTTCAATTCACAATTTTCTAAGGGATCATTACAGCTAAAAAAGGTTGTCTTGGTAATCTAATCAAACTGCCCAAATTGTCTATCTGCCTAGGGAGTATGATTTAACATTTCCCTTTTTCAGGAAGAAAAAAACTTTACTCTGCAGACAATGACAAGTATGCTCAAACCGAAACCAAGTTGATAAAAGGTATTGTTCACACATATCATACCTTCAGGACGGGTGTGAAGGGGTGGCAAGCCAACAGGTATAGTATCCACAAGAGAGTGGGCATTCCTCCCATCATCCACTTCGCAGCCACCGGAGCCAGAGATCACGGTGACATCCGGCAATGAGGCGGGCGCGCGGCAGTGATTCGCTTTCCCTTTACGCCTGACACGACCGGGCCGCCTCTCTGAGGAGCCGTGCTTTGAGTCGGCATCCCTCTCCATGGTCTTCGCGAACTCCAGTAGTTGATTTAGGGTTTTCCGGTGCATATAGAACGCGGACACCGCGACCACTGACGCTCCCACCAGTGCCGCCATGGCCAGATGCACAGCATAGGCATCCATCTCTCTGACACAGTCCAGAACTCAATAGCAGGAACAGACTAACGTACTCCTTGTATAAACTATGCCTGCCTATATATGTGCCTGAATCTATCGATATACGGAGTATGTTATATACGGACTACGGAGCATATATTTACAGAATTCCACCTTTGTTTACTTATTTATTTATAGAAGCAGGAGCATATACCATGTATAAACCCTATTGAATAGCAGAAATATGATACCCTATAAATTTAGATATACGGAGAGAGAAAAAGACGTTTGAGGTGTGCATTTATAAGGCCAATAGCTACTAAGAGATCTCCAAGGTGATATGTTAAAATTTAACATTTTTGGAGGATATTGTAGCATCTTCCTATATACAACGTGCCTGTTTGGTAATAGCTTTAGCGATTAGCGTTAGCGTTTTGAAAAGACTATCTACGGACAGCGTTCAGTGTTAGCGTTTTCAAAGTAATCTGCACCGTTAAAATTTTATCCAAAAAACTAACGCTATTCCCAAACAGGCCCAACAACAACAGAAAAATCTTGTCCAAATTTAGAAGGTTGTCTGTTCACTGGTGGAAGCCCATTGATCTATCCGTCATCGTTTTAGAGAGGGATCGGTACCCAATCGAAGAAAGAGAAGAAAAAGAAGGGATTGGATTCACTTATTCAGGAAGAGGGGTCACTATTTCTATTTAAATTTCTTTATATATATATATATATATATATATATATATATATATATATATATATATATATATATATATCCCCCCTTATATTATAAGGCCCAACAACGTTTCCCTCCGTGAAGTTGGTCCTTTTTCCGTAACTGTTCCGTCAAATTGCCCATTTCCCCGTCTGAGCGTAAGTGTGTTACCTTCGACTGATTTCCGTTAACTCCCGCTTAGTCTCCGTCTCTTACTTTTTCTAATTATTACGTGGATGATTGTTATTGGCCATTCTTGCCGCTCACCGCCCCACTATCTCAGCCGCTTCCCATCTCGCCAAAATCATTTTTCTCCTTCACTTTGCTCATCCGAGACGCTTTTCCTCTTCAATTCGCAGGTATTTTGCAGGTTCTCCTTACTTCTTACTCCCGAAGACTCCGCAGGTCCTTCTTCGATTCTTTAATTCCAATTTTTGATACCTCAAATTCGCGGCTTTTTCGGTTTGACAAATTGGAAATCCAGTTAAAATTCATCCTAGATTTTATGATTCAGCCCTATTCGAATTTCGGCCAATTTTTTGTACACTAATTCTAATTTAAGAGAGAATTAGTAAAAGAGGGGTGATTGATTTATTGAAATCTCCACAAATTATAATTTGCCCCATCTTAGTACTGCATGCACATAGGATCTTTATTCCTTCTACATTTCAATTTTAAAAACTCTATTTTGCACTTTTTTTGGGTAATAAACTGATTTCTTGATGAATTTTTCCTCTGTATAAGATTAGTCAAGTGTCTAAATAAGGTATGCAGCTATTATTTAAACGTATGCTTTCTTACTCTAATTCCTCTACAGATTCTTACTCCATATGATTACATAGGATGTAGACTTAGCCTAGGCCCCTCATTCCATTTATCACATATTCCCAAAATGATACCATGTTATTCTAGAAATTGTGCTAAAAATAAGTATTTTTTAAACTGTGCTCATAATCTTTGCCAAAGTAGTATGGGTGTCTAAATGAAAGTAGTGTAGAACTTGTGCCATAAGCATGATATTTGAACCTATGCTTTCTTACTCTAATCCCTCTATGAATTTCTTCTTGGTCATCTGTACAGTTTCATATGAGTTGCAATGTAAGCCACACAAGTGATTAATTTGACATTTATTCCATACTTTTAATCTATATTTTTTTTTGGTTGACCTCATGAATATTTGATGGTTGTGTCAAGTTCACACTCATTCTGCACGTATATATCATCTGAGTTTGTTCTCAAGTCCTCATGTAATTGTATTTGGCCAAAAAATGACCTGTTTCAATTCTTTCACATAAAAAAGCGTCATTAAAACAATGTCTTTTCATATAAGTTGAGCTTGTCTTAGTTGTGAAGAAGTGCTTTATAATGTATGGCTCAATTTCTTAAAATGCAACATAGCCGGCGTGTGCATTTCTTACGCTTGCTTTCATGTCCAGATTTTGAATGCACTCTGTTGGCAAATTTTCTACACATTCAAATGGTTTCATTTCTTGTGATAAGTACTTGTGTTCTATTGGACTTTCTTTGCTGCATGCACATTGCGTACTATTAATTGGGTTCATTTGGACGACCTTTTTCTCGAGTCTTAACCAAGTGTTGTTCTATTCGTGACCTCACGTGTCACGTTCTCATATTAAAATTTGGCAAGTGCTCTCTTTAAAGTTAATTACCAGAGGTCACACATTTTTGTCATGGTGCTCGATCGATTCTTGTTATGTATGTAATGGTCTGCCAGGTGAAGGTTTGGAGGGTTTTGATTCAGTTACACAGATGCGTGTAGGGGAGTTGGGTCTATGTGGACACGATTGGTTTGTGGAGTCATGAAGTGTGGTGCTTGCTTTGATTCTATTGCTTATGTATCCATTCTGATTTCTGTGTTAGACATATAGAAGTCTACACTTCTGTACTTTTGATGATTATAAATTCCTTTGACTTTTCTAAGTTGTGTATTTATATAGGCATATGATTCTCAATTCTTTTGAAGTCAATTCTGAGGTAAATTGTTTACACTATGTTTACACTATAAATTCAGACTTTTCTATGAATACTTGATGTTATGTTCTATTATTAAAGGGTGGAGTTTCAGTGTTAGAACATAAATTCACAGGTAAAAGTAAAGATTGAAACTTTCAATCACAAAGAGCAAAACCAAAGAAAAAAGAAACCCATTAAATGAATCTAAACCCCTGTTTAAAACTACTAACTAGCTTTGCAAATACTTTTGAACATGATTAAATACTTTTGATCACTTCAATTTTTGTAAAACAATGTATAAACTTCTCGTAAAGTACTACGCTATGTAATATTACAAAATCATAGCACATTATACAAAGAATTTGGGCACACACACACGTGTGTGCCATGCTAGTGTGTGTGTCTATATATATATATCTATATATATATATATATATATATATAGTACTCTCTTCGTCCCTAAAAGATTGTCACTGTACTCTTTGACCAAGAATTAAATATAGTTTAAAATAATTAAATACCATAAAAAATTGATATTTCAAAATTATATTTTAATATAAATCCAATTTTACTAAATTTGAATTATAACAAAATATATTTTTTTCCACAATTCACGATCAAATGGTGCCAAAGTTTGGCCAAAAAGTCAAATTGTGACAATCTTTTAGAAATGGAGGAAGTAGTATTTTAAGGTATTTCTATTTTCATTGAGGCAGGCGTCCATAGCGACGAGGGTGGTAGGACGGATGGTAATGGTTTAAAACGATAACAATGCGAGGTTGATTTGTGCTTTTAATCATCTTCTCACGTATCCTCTACAATTCCATGACTTAATTTATAGAGTTGGGAGAGAAATTTTCACCCCAAGACTACAAAAGTTATTCGCACATAGGTCCATGCACTTTATAGTGTATTTTCTGCTTTTTCTACTTCATTTTGGTTGTATTGTATTGTTGTACACCTTTTGTAAGTGGTCTTCTATAATATTCTAACTCGCATAGCCCGAATACATGGATTACTGGATCGGGTTGCCACTATATTAGCATCTAAACAAAATAAGTTTCAAAATAATTTAAAAAAATTTAATTCAAAAATAATATTTATAAATCCATTGGAGTAATCTAAAATGGTGCAGAAACATTTCAAAATAAGCGAAACATAAAAAGAGAACAACCCACAAAAAGAACGAATCCAAATTAATTTGTTTTACTTGCTAGCGTGACTTATTTTATTTTATTAATTGATGAGTTTTATTTTATTGAACATTTTAGTTAAACAAAAATAGCATACCATGCATTTAATGTTTTTGTTTGTTTTATTTGAAAACAGACAAAAAAAGTTAACAAACAAAAAATATCAAATAAAACAAACAAAAAAGAAGACGCATGGTACGATTTTTTGTTTAACTAAAATGATCAATAAAATAAAACAAATTAATTAATAAAATAAAATAAAATAAGTCAAACAAAGAGTAAGTGCACATTAAAAAGAGAACAACCCATTAAAAAACGAATCCAAAGGTCAATTAGTTGTAAAAAAACTAATTGACCTTTGCTAAGAAATTAAAATGGCTTGCTATTAATAACAAGTTTGGTAAAACATATCAAGCCAAAAAGAAGAAGAAAAATGTTGATTGAGTTATTTTTTCATGGGCCAGAGCATATTTGTTCCCTCATGTTTAGTACCACAACTCAAGAAGAAAAATAAAATATCATTTTATTCTTTTACAAAAATATTTTTTTTAAAAAAAACATTTTATTTATTTAAAATAAAAATAGTTTTTCATTTTTAATTATTATTCTTAAATTGCAACCTACAGAGTATTACTTAATATTTATAAAATTAAATAGTAAAATATAAAAATTATTGCAAATAGTGTACTATATAATATTATAAGTGAAGATTAGAGATGACAATGCAAAATGAGTTCTTATACTATTATTCATATATTTAAAAATGACTATAGCAAGCCATGTTTAGCGAGTGTGGTAGGAGATTTCCCTACTCATCTATCTAACATTAATTAAGTTATTTGTACACTATAATTTGTATCTGACATTGTACCTTGAAAACATGCATCAATATTTTTTGCTAGTGTAATGGTTTATACTAAAATAAAATGTTAGTGTAAATTTTCTTGATTGAACTAAAATTTTGTGTAAATATGATCCCTAAAACGGTGGGTGAATCCCACTTGGGATACACTTTTTGTTACTCCGTACTTTTTTGTGTATCCTGGTTGATCTTATCCTAGGAGGCGTACATCAAAAAATGTATCTTAAGTTGTGCTCTAAAAAAATACTACGTAGAATGACATTTTAATGGTTTATACTGACACAGAATCAGTTCAATTTAAAAATTTTTATTAATGTAAACCATCACATTAACATAAAATATGTAGGTATATACTTTGGGGGAATATAAGTTATCAAATGTCCCGGTGCTGTAATATCTATCTAGGCGGAGCTAA